TCAGCCCTGGTGATGCCTTAGTGAATGATACATTTGTTGATCAAGACTTTGGGGATTCACAGGACCAGCACGTGTGATGAGCTAACTGTCTAAAAGGGGCCTAAAACATGTAAATAAGTAATGACAGCATGTGATATAAATAGTAAATAGTAAGGTATGAATAATGGTTACATTTTAGGAGTTGAAGCCTTCTGGTGAACAAAATCTGCAGTGTTGAGTAAACATGTGTTGTTCAAAAGCTTAGTATTCAAATAAAATCTGCAGGCATCCATCCTGATTTGGGGAGGAAGAGTTTTGTTTGTACCTGCATTGGAAAAGCATTTGAGGTTGAGTTTTCCTTTTTGCAGAGGATGACCAGTGGTACCGTGCCTCCGTTTTGGCATATGCTTCTGAAGACTCTGTGTTGGTTGGATATGTAGATTATGGAAACTTTGAAATCCTTAGTTTGACAAGGCTTTGTCCCATAATCCCAAAATTGTTGGACCTCCCAATGCAAGCTATAAAGTGTGTGCTGACAGGTATGAGATTTTTATGGTCCCCTTGTTCTTAAAATACTTACTCAGGAGGCAGAGAAATGTATCTCGATATAATTTATTTTACTGCAAAAATAATCCTTAATGAACCATTTAGGGAATGCAGAATGCTGATTTTCTGTCTGTCACAAAGGAAAACTTAATGTGCCTCTAGTTAAGAAACCAAGTCTTCGGTTTTGCTATTTATAGAAACTGGGTTAGCTATAAATATTACGGAAGCCTGATGACAGATGTGAAAAGATGTATGAAGTAGGGGAAATCCTGCTTATAAAAGTAAGAAGTACAGTTTGATCATACGCTTAGAGGGGACTCTATATTTAACTTGTCCTGCTAGGATTAGGGGTTTCTTTCCACGTCTATAAATTGACTTCTGTAGCCTTCATTCCGATGTATCATTATTTAACTAGTATCCAGTATCAGAAGGGTATTTCCAACTTTTTGCTATTACGAAAGATTTTGCAACATACCAAAGATCATTTCCTTTAGGATATGGTGCAGAATGCAGTTACATTGCAAAATATTCCTGTAGAATACATTTTCACAGGCAGGATGGCAGTGTCAGTGGTATGCCCCTTTTCCTGTTTGTGCTACATATGGTGGCTGGCCTTGAGAACCATTTGAACTAGTTTACACACATCCCAGAAACATGAGGGAGTCAATTCCTTCACACAGTGCACCAAATAGATATTTCTATGTTACTTCACCTTGGCCAATTCTGATAAGCTGAGAATGGAATCTTTCCATTTGCTTAATTACCATTGAGGCTGAACAGGTTTCCCTAAATTACTTGGCTCTCATATTTTATGAACCAACTAAGCATATCCTTTGCCTGTTTTTTGGTTGTTGACTTGTAAGTGCCTTTTCAGTATCAGTCTGTGTTATAAATGATACATATGTCAATATGAAGGATAACATCTCTTCCTGCACTGTTTGTTAGGATTTTGATTTTGACAAAAAACTTTATTGTATGGCTTACATACCATAGATTCACTGTTTTAAATTCAGTGATGTTTACTAAATGTAGGAGCTCTGGTGGCATAGTGCCTAAGGCATTTGACTGCTAACCAGAAGGCTGGCGGCTCAAATCCACCAGCCACTCCTCGGAAAGAAGGTTGGGCAATCTACTTCTGTAGTGATACTGC